TAAACATGGCATTAATCAACAGTTCTATGCAGTTTTGATAATCTTTACTCATTACAATTTAACTCTAAGAGTCGAGACATGGGTTCTCACCACTGATGTTAGTCCCAGGTGGAGCTGCTTCTGTTTCTCTAGAGGCTGGAGCTTGGAGCAAGGGTTGCCTGCCTTCTCTGGACCTCTGGACCTCTCTTTTTTGGAACTCTAAAACTTGGTATCAACTATGCTGCCTTATATTCTTTTTCCCAATCCTGTCCACCCCTTCTATTGACCAATCAGAAGTGTTTGACATTTAGATTGTTTTCTCAATCAATTGAAAACAACTGAGTTTTTCTTAGTAACCGGGGCCTTCCCAAGTGACAGCCCTTTCCTGGTATTTGCTCCTATGTCAGGTCGACCTGGTTATCTAAACGTTTTATTATGCCAATACTTCCAAATTTGAGTTTTCCCGGCATTCATATCTGTTATTCTAAATGGTCCTGGACAAAGTCCCCAAATTTCCCAACTGTCTCATCATTATCGCTAGGTCGCGGTGAACCTTGGTATGTGCCCTATGTAAGCTCTACTGTGTAAACTCGCCTAATATGGTCTTCCCGGCAACTTAGCTCATATCTGGAAAAACCCATCCTGGAAAGTCCCATATTTCCATAGCATATGTACAGCCTATGCATACTGTGCGTAAGACAAGCTTGTCATAAACAGTTAATGAATATATATATGTGTGTGTATGTAAAGTTTAAATGAGAATGAAAATAAGCCTTTCCGCAGAGCCAAACTCACTCTACACACACACACACACACCTCCCGTCCTCTTTAGCCAACAACTGGGAATATTTGCTTTTGATTTCACAAACTTGCAATCTCCCAAGGTTAAGAGCAAACAACATAATATTTCGCAATAACTGCTTGCAAAAGGTCTATTGAGGCTTGACTTTTTATTTTTCAGCTAGAATCAGGCTCCCGGCCTGAATCAGGTTTTTCCAGCTCACCTGCCTCTGCAGGCTCCATAGGGCCTTTCTGCAGATCCTAACACTGGGCATTTTTTGTTTAGATTGAAGTGTGATCTATCCATTTCATTGTCAATTACATGGTTGAAGTCTCCACCCAGAATGATCTCACCAGTGGCAAAAGCAGTAAGTTTGTCGAGTACTTCTTGAATGAACACCAATTGTCCGTCATTTGGTGCATAGATTGTTGCAATTGTGTATGGGCGACCATTCAAGAGACCTTTTACAAATAGATATCTGCCATGGGGGTCAGTTAGTTTTCCTGAAAGTGTAAAGCGAAGATCTTGGGACAGTAGGATTGCTACCCCTCTAGATTTGGATGTGCCACAGGCCATATATTGGACCTGAAATTTCTTGGAATGGAACACCAAATTTGCTGTTTTCTTCAAGTGTGTTTCCTGTAATAGAACGATGTTTGGTTTGAGTTTTAAGAGGTTGGTGAGAACGCATTTTCGTTTTATATCGCAATTTAAGCCTCGTACATTAGAAGATACGATTTTGTATGGTGTAGACATAGCTTTGGTAGTTAAAGGTAGTAGCTTAAGGATAGGTTATTTCTTCTTGCTTAGATGTGTATGCCTATGTTGGTAGGGCTGGAAGTATTATCCAATAAAATAATGAGCCTGTTTGGGCAGATGGGATGAGACACCAGACTATTTGCTAGGGAACTAGTCTTTAGTGTTAGATTATGTATGTTTGCGAGGGTGTGATTAGCTGTGTTGTGTGAAGATGTGATGGCGTATTCACAGGTCAGAAAACTGTGGGAGACTATATGGAATAATACCTTTACAACTGCAGAGATGGTCTTTGGAAGCTGGCTCCCTAAGTATGCGTCAGCAAGTCTATTCCTTTGAGAGGTGAAGAGATGTAGTAATACGAAGTCCCTGAAGCAGTATTTAACAGAAACAAACCAATTATCAAGTGTTAGCAATATGTGACCAAGGTTGGGTATGCTCTGAAATAGAATAAGTCAGCAAATTACCAGTAAAGAAGTTTCCTCCCTTTAGTATATAACAGTTAAGGTCTGTAAGCACAGTAACAACACTCTAAAATTAATTGAGTACAATAATCACTGTTAATTAACCTAACCACAATTTGATGAAGTAATAATTAATCAAGGACACCAAAGTTGATTATATATCCACACTATTAATAGATAGGGTATAGAAATTTATGTTAAAGGCATAAAAGCAGTTAATTAGGTGCAGAATAAAAAAGATCAAGGACACCAACTTCGGCTTTGTGTATGTACTGAAAATTAATTAGATATAAAACACAATATTAATGGCTTAATCAATTGTACAATAAAATGAAAGGATGATCAAAGACACCTACATTTATCTTGTGTGTGCACTAAACAGGTTAGAACTATTACAGATTAACAATTTAAATGGTAGTGTAAGCTTTTTTTTTTTTTACCAGAACAGTACAATTAATGCAATCAGAAACTATGCTTAGGTGAGAGTAGCTTCGGTAAACAATGTTTTAAACAAATTCGACTTTCACAGCTCCTGCAGAAGTTTGTCCTGCAGGAGGCTGAGGTGGGTAATGAAATTCCCCCTCCCCCAGCTCTTTTATTTTGAAAGTCGAGATGGATTTTAAAGACTAATGGAACCTAGAAATCCCCCAACCCCCCTTTTCCCTCTTTGAAACCTACTAATAAATTCATAAACATTATTTTTAAGCACAAACAGGATCAACGTGTGACATTTTAAAGTTTACATATAAGTCTGAGAACGATTATGAAGATAGAACATTAATAAGTAAGCAGATTGCCCACAGTTTTAACTGCTTCTCCAGTTAACTAATATACTAACTATGCTGCTAAGTCAGGAGAAAAAAGCCGTTTCTTATCTATTTTCTAATAAAATCCCAGAAAAATAGAGTGATTGTCAAGCTTAGCGCGGCAGAATAATAATACAGCCATGGTACTTAGCCAGTCTCGCATAGAGTTCTTCATGGTGCTGCTTCAAAAAGTTCTGTTGCGTCAGTCAGTGAGGGAGATGGTGATCGGCATTTTCTTTTATAAGATTGCTTAGAGAGCTCCATCGGTGTTACTAGGTCTACCGATCTTAGCAAGTTGAAGCCATCATGGACTGAAGAAATTCTGTAGGTCTAGCTTTGAAGGAAAATTGTAGAACAAGTGGCGTAGACCAGGAATATCGGATCTCTGCTTCCATGAGGTGCAAAGTAATCAGCTTAATCTCTCGTCGCTTCATAAGGGCTTCTTTTGGCAGGTCTGGGAATACTTCAATTTTTCCTCCCATGTAACTAAGGTGCCCTTTTTGCCTTGCCACTAAAAGAATTTTCTTCCTGTACCTGAGATCTAGGAATGACACTATGATATCTCGTGAAGGCCTAGATTTCAGGAGACTCAGGGGGCCTGCTCGGTATGCTTTTGTGATGATGGGCATTATGTCTCCGTCCGGTGGTATCTCCTTTTGCAGCCAGTTAGAATGGAGTACAGTGAGTTCTCCATTTGTCTTTATTTTATCCGCTAGGCCGCTGAGTTTCAGATTGTTCTGTCGGACTGTCATATCTGCCCTTAAGGCTTTCTCTGCAAGGACATCTTCAAGCTGTTGTAATTGCTGAATGTCATTTTGATTTGTTATGCTGCTATTAATGGCGGTCTCTGCTATTTTTTTTTGTTTCTGCCAGAGAGTTCTGCATAGCGCCTAGCTGCTCATATAAAGGTTTAAAGTGAGCCGACATGTTTTCAAGGATTGTTTTCTCTATATGAGGGAGTGCTTTTGTTAGTTCTTTTGTTAGTTCTGCGTGCGTTACAGGACATGAGGCCTTGTCTGCCCCGTTTGTTCCAGGCGCCATTTTGGTTGTAAAAAATAAGCGCGGGCCGGATTTTTCTGTGGCTGGTAGTGAGGAAAGAGTACATTGTACCTTTTTATATTTAGAGGTATTCGGTTGTTGTGATGATCCGTCGGCTTTATCCATACATTTGGATGCTGATCACGATGATATATCGCAGGTAGTAGTAGTTAAGGAAAAGAGTCAGGTGGAACAAAAGGCTTAGGCGGCCATGTTGTTTCGAGCCATCCCGGAAGTCCTGTTTTCCAGAGCTTTTGAGGTGGTATAAATGGCAGGCATTTTTTTAAAAACTGCTCCCAAAGAGGCAGAATTTTATTAAAGTTTTTTTCACATATATTAAACACACAAAAACACAAGTACACATACATACATGGGGTATATTTTCCTGCTTTTTATCAAATGTTAATGTTAGTGCCTATTCCGCATTAATGATTATTTCTTGTGTCCTGTATACGTAACCTTCTATCTCTTACTAGATAAGACATGTATATTCTTCATTTAATCTAAACGAAGTCCCTAAAAATTTACCTACATCTGCTTATCATACCAGTTATAAAACCGAGTCCAAGTATTCCGGAATGTTGATTCTATTGCACCTTTTATCAATAAAGTCAATTTATCAATTTCCGCAGCCTCCAGTATTTTATTTATAAGTTCTCGTTTTGTTGGTATCTCCACTAGTTTCCATTATTTTGCATAAAGTATTCTGGCCACTGTAGTTATGAAGACAATTGTTGGAGTGTTCAGGTAAAATGTTTAACAACAAAGCCTCTGGTGTAAATGGCACCCCTGTACCTAATATTTTTTGCAAGATTTCATGTACCATCGCCCAATATCTCTTACCTCTTTCACAGAGCCACCACATATGATAAAATGTACCAGTCTTATTTTCACATTTCCAACACTTATTAAAGCATTCTGAGTTAATTTTAGCTAGTCTTTCAGGTGTTACATACCATCTATAAAACATTTTATACACATTTTAATGGCAGGCATTTTTTAAGGGGGAAGGAAGGTATGGGGGGGTTATTTGGTTTTAATATGTAATGGTTTGATTATTTGTAAGCCACCTTCAACCAAGAGGAAACACAGTGTATAAATCTTAATAAATAAAATAAATGAATTATGCAACCCTTCAGAATACCTACTGAAATAATTATCTCTTAGAATACGTACCTTCTGAAGTGACGGTTAGTCTCTTATCTTTCCAAACATTTAAGTTTATTTTTTTAAGTTGCTTGCAGTTGCTAAGCTGTTGCAGAGCATTATCTGAAATATCACAGACTTGAAGATCTAATGCCTCCACGGCAGGGTGCAGAACCTATGAAGAAAACATTTCAGTCAAACTTCACATAGTGTAGCACAAGCCCATCTACAACTATGCCTTTAGTTCCATTTGATATGCTTGAGGAACCATTTTTCTTTAGAACAGACTTGGCTATAAAAGTGTGGTGAATTAAGGGGGCGCAATTTCTCCCCAGTTGGGACTCAGTATGGCTTTTAGATCATAATGCTCTCCTCCTCCATTTTCTCACAACAGCCCTATGAGGTAGCCCAGGCTGAATGTGATGGGCCCAAGGTCACCCAGGGAGCTTCCATGGTAGAAATGGGAATTCAAACCTTGGTCACTCCAGGGTCCTAGTTCACCACTCTATACACAACACTACTGTCTCTTGTTTGGCTGTATGAAGTACCTGACCCTGCCTTTTTCTCACACTCTTGAGCCCTTTCTGACAACAGGAAAATTTATTCCTGGGGTCGAGGTACTCACATGGACTATCAGTCATCGGGATCAGGCAGCTCCAGTAGGGAGGGGGGCAAAATTGGTCCCTTCTTCCTCTCCCCTTTTCCCACTGCAGCTGTCTGATATTAGTCCCTCGACACCAGGATTAAAGTTTCCCAGGATGAGAAATGGCTCCAGAGGAAGGTGTAGAGAACGAAAGAGGAATAACAGGAAATGTGCTCCGTTTCTGAAGGCGACAAAGGAGACTGTGGCCTAACCACAGGGTCTATGGGGGACTACAGAAATAACTTCACTGTCTGGAAGAATTGCAGCTTCAGCTTAACCACAATCTCTGCCTATTGACAGAAAAGGTCAAGAGGTTTTTGTTACTACGCAGGCGTAATACCCTAATTACTATTAACTGGCACACCCTGCATGGATAATTAGGCTATTTGCATGAACATGCGATGTATGTAGAAGTATGTAATAGGTGTAACGGGAAACAGACTGTAACCCCACCCTCCTCTGCCCATGGGAGGGAGGGAGGGGTGGTCCGGGCCGGCTGGGTTAGGATAAAAACAGTGACTCGGAGGCCTACCCTCTGAGAGGCTTGGACTGCTTATTGTGTAACGTGCTTCTCCGCTTCTATTCGAATAAAAGCTTTTCTGAATTCTTTCACTGTTGTCCTGCATTGGAGTAATTCAGGTAACAGGGGTCTGATGCATTCCAGACCCTGGGAGTGGTCCCAACAAAGGGAAGATCCTGAACTGTCATTACTTTCTGCTGGTGGTTCACAGGATACAACCCACAGTGTTCCCCTCTGGTAACATTCTGAGTAAGAATTAGTAAAAACAAGAAATTCTCAAATGAACGATAGAGCTATTCTAAAGGAGGAGTAAAAATTAGTACTTATATGGCACATTTAGGTTAATGTAGAACTAAACTCGCTTTCAAGACAAAATATCCAAATCCAATGCAGGATCAGCAATATTTTCTAAACTCCACAGGATTTCCCAGAGTTTTAAAGATATAGTTTAATTGTCTGATTGCAATGAAGTTTTATTTCCCAGAGTTTTAAAGATATAGTTTAAAAGAATAGGACTATTTTGCCCCCTCCCCAAAGAAACCAACCCCTTGGGAAAAGTTCCTTATAAGTCTGCTAAGATAATGCTTGCTGCTTTAATGATTGGTACAAGCCACTAACTTTACTAATAAATATAGTTACTTTATAGCATTGAGGGTCTGCTGTCTGATTGCAATGAAGTTTGGCCTTAAAGGGACCGGAGTCATAGCCTATGACTAGATGACTCCTTTCACAGCTGTGGTCGTTTCCTCAACAGGACCTAAATGCCAGGAAATGGTGTTAAGTACCCATCAAACTCATTGATTTACTATGCATAGTCGGGGTCCATTTGATTTTGGCAGCGGCAGCGGCAGCAGCAGCAGCAGCAGCATGCTTGAAAATAAGTGAGGAGACCTTGCCCAAGCAGATTAACAGAAAAGTAAATCAATGAATGTGTCAACTTGAAGGTAACATTGAATGTGAGATTCCTATATAGGATTTGTTCCTGAGGAAAGAGCAGAGGTCTGAAACACTTAAATATCCAGAATAAGTGTTGAAATATCCAGAATAAGTGTTGAAAGAAAGATTGAATTTGGAGCAGATTGCTTTTGAGAATACAAGACTGTTAAAAGGATATTGACAGAGAGTTTGGAGCAGACTGCTATGTGTAATTTTATTGACCTTTGTATATTTTCTATGAAGGAATAAGTTATTGTTTTTCACTACCAGACACTAAATGATGCTATGGCTTTAATCTAGTCTCTTTTGTCATTGTATTATTCTGTGGGCATCTAGCAGACATCTGTATATATTTTTTTCATACTAGACTGTTTTGGGATTGTGTGTTATTGTTGTGGATTGGACCTATTTCTTTATATCAGCAGTCTGTATCATGCCTAATACCGCTGTGTTTATTCAGATTTCTGCAATCCTAGTCCTAGTACATTGCTTATTAAACATCTCTTCATATTGACTGTATCAAATTACATTGTGCTTATTAGCAATCCCCTCATATTATTTGTACTGATTTACATGGTGTAATCCACTTTGAGTCTCAGTGACAAAGCTGGACTATAAATGTAGAAAATAAATAAATTTCCTAAGGCAATATTTGTGGCAGGTGAAAAGTGACAGATGACAAGAGATGTTTTGACACTGTGATTAAATAAAACATAACTGAATATTTGCTTACAGTTGTGTTGGAGCCGAGTAGATGAGTTTTTGCCCTTACAATTAACTCAGGAAGGAGACCAGTTTGAGGTGTCAGATGCATTAAGAATCCATTCTGTAATAATTGTTGCCTGTGTTGTCACAATCCCTGGCCATCGTCTATAAAGCCAGAATTGGGACTGATCTTAGCAAGGCAGGTTTGCTTTTAGGCAAAACTTTCTTGCAAATGATTGCCTCGCTTTACATTTTAACTGATATGAGCTGCCCACTGATTTTTATGAGACTTCGGGTCTGATTACATGAGATGCGAAACATGAGTTGGGCTGGGAGTGCTGCCCTTTTTTCTATGTTCTGGGGCAGCCTGAGGCCCCAGATGACTATAGGGATGTTGGCTGTAACAGAAGGAGGGCAGATGGAGCCCACTGAGGCACAGGCAGGCAGGAAAGGCTGCAGGATGACCAGAAGACGGCAGCAGCAGAGGACCCACTCAGTGAAGACGATGCCAGCTGCACTTCACCCTCTTGGCAGCTAACTGATAGAGTGTACACATTACATATCAGCAAAGGGTCTAGGACTCACTAGAAGGACATGGCGCTTACAAGTAACCTGCAAGTGTACACGATGCCAGCTGCACTTCACCCTCTTGGCAGCTAACTGATAGAGTGTACACATTACATATCAGCAAAGGGTCTAGGACTCACCAGAAGGACATGGCGCTTACAAGTAACCTGCAAGTGTACACGGAACGGAACGTATACAGCATTGTGTCTGGGCAGACCCTGAAACATCACCTCTGATCCCCCAAAAACAGAGACACCAAGCAAAGCCCTGATGTAAAAGCATACATTAAAGGTATGACAGTTGCACTGTATTCCAGATGATGAGGAGGACGGTGACCTAGCATCAGTCCTCTGGTTTCTGAGGAGACCCAAGGGGATCACTCTCTGGTTACCGACCCATTCTCCCTATCCCCCAATGGCACACTTATGTGACAGTGTTGTCTTCTGTCTTCATACTGCCTTGCTTACTCTATAGATGTAAAGACTAGCTCTGAGAATAGGGCCGGGGGGGGGGGATAAGCTTGGGCACGAGCCGGACAGCTTTTCCTGCTGTTGTGCATAATGCTTTGGCCCACTGCCCAGGCCTACACAGAAAACAGGAAGAATATCCAGGTCAGTGTGACCTACGGATATCGTGTTGTTCCTCTTTTGGACCACTCAACCAAAATTTTGCAGCAGCTGGCTTGTTTGGCAAAAGAGCAAATAAGATATTCCAAAGACATGGACTAAAATACATGATTTGGACCACAGAGAAGGAATTTATCCTCAATTAAACCAACATCCATCACCACGCATATTTAAAAAACTACTTTTGGACCCCGGTTCTAATACAATAATATGTGAAGAGTCATCCACATCCAGTGCGTCAGCAGCCAGCCCTGTGACTCTACCTAGGTGGACTTCAGAAGGTGATTCCCTCTGCTCACCTGCCTCTCTGGAGTGGGGAGATTTGTAAAAGGTATTTTAAGTTCAGCTACCACCTGGAGACTTACACCGTGTAAGTCAGTACGAATAATATGAAGGGATTTCTAATAAGTACAGTATAATTTGATACAGTCAATATGAAGAGATGTGTAATAAGCAATGTACTAGGACTAAGATTGGAGAAATCTGAATAAACATAGCGATATTAGGCATGATATAAAGAAACGGCTCATCCTGAGAGAAGGCACGGGGAGGGGAGCCACGGCAACAGTGGAGGATGTTTGTTGTAAAGTGTGCAGGCACACGAAAGCTTACACCCAGAATTAAACTTTGTTAGTCTTAAAGGTGCCACTGGACTCAAACTTTGTTCTGTTGCTTTAGACCAACATGGCTACCCACCTGAATCTGTCAATTCAAATGACAGACAGACAGATATTGGTGTGTTCGTGTGTGTGTGGCTGGCTTACTGCTTTGCTTTCAGGAGGCCCGAAGGGAAGCATAGTAGCATCCCAGAGGTCAGACGGAGAGGAAACACCTGATCAAGACAAAGGAGTCTCTGCGGGTGACCAATGGACAGTTCAGATTTAGATCATATATTGCAAACTGGACAACTTTGAATGACAGATCTGAGTAACTTGGAACAACAGATCTGCTACCTTCCACAAGATGGGTCTCGAGAAACAGTTAACTTGAATAAGGTCCTGGCAAGGGTTGTTCTGAATAACAGAATATGTTGACCATGCAACTTCTAATCTGCGGAATCTGAAGTTCTGCATGGGAGCTTGCTGGAACTTGAGGGCTTGCAAGAATGAGTGGGCCAAAGGGACCACCTACTTGTTTTAGAAAGGTGACCACCAAAGAGGGGAGCAGTGGCACAGTGGGTATATCCCACTGTCTTAACATCCAAACTGTGTCAGTTCGAGCCCCGCGCTGGTGTGAGCAGTCAGCCTGTCGTCCCCAGCTCATCGTCCACCCAGCAATTTGAAAGCCTCGGCGAGTAGATAAAATGGGAACTACTCCTTAGAGAGGGTGGGCACACCAACTCCCTTCTGGGAAGGTGTTAGTTCTCGGTTGGAGACGTCCTGGTCTGGACCCG